GCGTGTTAGGGGCACACTTGACATCCCTGGGTGGGAGACACTATTGGAGGAGGGAAAGGAGTCACCATCACTGGCTGGGAACGCCAATAGAACAAAGAGCAATGACTTGCAGAGGGCATCCACAGCACTGTCCATCCACCCCAAGTCACCAAGCCAGTCCTTCCCATGACATCTAATCCGTCTCCAAGTCACATGGATTCCTTCCTCCAAAAATTCATCTAGGATCTATTCCCTTCTCTTCCTTACAGCACCTAACTGTGCAGACAACGTCTGGGGCTGGGTGCACATTCCTTCCTCCCGCTAATAAGTCAAGGAAGGACTTCCTGCGGGGGGGGGGGGGGCGGAAGTGGGGAAGTTGGCACAAAAGGGAACAAAACCCCAAAGCCTGGCCCTCTCAAATAGGCTGGCCGGGTCGGGGCCTCTACACCCTCACCCCTTCTTCTGCCTTTTCCTGTGCCTCCCTGCCCACGCCGTCCACAGGCAGGGAGGGTGGTTGGGGGAAGCGGGGAGGCCTCAGGCGGTATCTGGCTCACCCTCCACGTCCCCCCGCACCGCTAAACTGCCCCTTCCCAGCCCCAGCCTTCGAGCCGCCACACGGGCCTCCCTTCGCGTCTTCCAACGAGTCTCCGCGCCTTTGCATATGTCGTTCCCTCTGCCGGCGCGCCCTTCCACGGGGCTGCAGTGTCACCTCCTCCGAGACGCCTTCCCTTTGGCACCTTGTCTTCTGCCTTTTGTACCCTGTCAGTTCTGGCCGCACTGCCCCGTCCGGTCCCTCCGGCCGAGTTCCGCCAGTGCAGAAGCCAGTCTTCACGGCCAACACGCACACCACGCGTGGTTTCTAACCGCACGAACCCATCCGCTGACCCGCCCATGCCCATGCCCTGCGGCCTCCAAGACCTGCAGCCAAAGGCCGCTGGCACCGCCCGGTCCCCCGGGGCGCGAAACAAATCCATAAGTTTAGCGCCCGGGAAAGCGCCAGGTCCGCTGCGAGCCCAGACACGGTCCCACGGAGAGAGGCGGGGCCGCTTTAGCCAAACCCGCGCCGCCCCTTCTGCTGCCGGAGCGGCTCAGGCCTTCCAGCCCCAACAAGCAGCCAACGTGTCGGGCCCCTGAGGCGCGTAGCCGGCCCGGGGCAGCCCAGCACCCCGGCAGAGGGACTGACCGAGTCAGAATTCCCAGTGCGTCTCCCACAACCCGCCTTGGTCCTTTAACACTCCGGGCGCTCGCGCCCATTGGCGGAGAGGCTCTACGTCATCTCTGCGCGCCGAACGGCGTCTTCCCGCTCCCTAACCCTGACAACTGAGCGTCGCCGACCTCAGCGGCTGAGGAGAGCGGGACGAAGTCGCGGTGGCGGGAAGATGTAAGTGGGGGAATCCGACCCCATCCGACCTTCGGGGGGGCGCGCCCCGCTATCGGCGGGGCGCATCTTGGAGAAAAAAAAGCTCCTCGGCCCCGCGGCGAGGACGGCGGCCCGGCGGTGCAGCGCGGGGACTAAGAAGAAAAGAGTGTGGCCCGGGGTGGACGGAGTGGGAGGGTTCGAGGCCGCGGCCCGGAAGTAGTTGGAGCCGCGGCGGGCGGAAGGGCGGCCTGGCATCGTCCCCTCTGCGGCAGGCCCAGCTAGGCCCACCGGACTCGGAACAACCGCGAGCGTGGCCTCTGCCCTCAGGACCCTCTCGCCGGGCTGGAGATCCGGGCCTGCAACGCCGGGCCCTGTCCTGGAAGCGCTCGCAGTTCGGCGCCTGGACTGGGGAGTTGTGAGTGAACGGGTGCGGCGAGGTCGCGTGCGAAGCCCGTGCCCGGTGGGTGCGGAATTGCTTTGTGGGATAGATGTCGTCTAATCCTCCCTTCAGGGCCATTCATTCAAACATTTACTCCACGAATGTTCACTGAGCCCCTGTGCGCCCGCCATTCCCGGTGCTAGCCCGTGGGGATACGGCCCCCTGAGGTCACGGAGCGCGGATTGACGGCTGAACCCAGAAGGGAAGGTTAAAATCAATGGAGGAGATACGTGGCTTTTTCTCTCTGTGATATTTTGCATGAATCGTGCCTAAAACGTACTTTTAAGTGGGGAAGGTTCTCTGAAGATTTGAGCTGAACGCCATCTGCTCGAGATTTAACTAATTGTTCTCTCCTCTCTCTGACTGTCGGACGCGCACCTTCTCCGGAGGATGGGGGAGGTACCCGAGCCCTGTGCTGTTAACCCGAACGTGTGTGAGCAGAGAACCTCAACCTTTGCTGGTTAGCGTTCGGCCACACCCGACGAAGAGTTCATTTACTCTGTGGTTTAATTTTTAGTGTTTAAGAATAATTGGTGGTGCCTGTTTTCACGAAGTACATTCCAGCAGATCTTTAAGTCAGTGTAGGTAGCCATTGGCCACATAGGGCTATTGGGCACTTGAAATACAACTATTCCAAATGGGGGTGTTTTTAGGCCTAATAGGGGGTGTTAAATGTTTTACTAATAAGATTTTATACCGATTGCTGAAAAGGTAACACTTGTTGACTTCTTTTTGTGATGTGGCTACTAGAAAATGTTCGGGTATGTTTGGAACGCTGTTGGACAGCGCTGCTCCTAGTGATCCTAAGGGGGCTGTTCAAGGACCACCTATTGAGCACTCAGGGATATGTGGCTTTGGGGACAAGGGTTTCTTTTGGGAAAGAGCCTCCAAACATGAAGAAACAGCCCTTACTGAGCCTTAACTAGATGCCCAGTCTCTTTCATGAGTTAATTTGATTGATGTCCTTGGTAACTCTGAGATGTAGGAACTGTACTTGTCACCATCATACTGGTGAGAAGTTGAGGCTCAGAAAGGTTAAGTGACTTATCCAAGGTTACACAGCAAAGCTAACTCAAGCTGACTTCAGAGTCTTAACCCTAATCACTGATTGTCCAAGGACGCTAACCTTGTCTGGTATTGCCAGGTCGGTGTTTGTACTGTATTAATGTTTTAAGGCAAAACATTAAAGATTTTATAGCCCAAGAAAAGAGGAGCATTCATTCGATTGTCCAAGGCCAGGCACTTTGTTAACCATACCATTCACATTTTGGACACTCCCTTCACACACGGAAACAATCCCAACAGGTGTGCTATGTCCATTTTACTTGCAGGCTATTGAAAAAGGTAGGACAGGAGTACTGACATCCTGAGATCTTTGCTTACAACTCAAGCAAATTTTACAAAACCTCACGGGAATTCCTGAGGCAGCAGTCCCCAGGAAATAGGGCACATAACGAATTAGCAGTTTGTTCTTGAGTAAAATTTACTAATGACCATTTATTGAGCATGTACTGCAGTTCAGGCACTTTGCTAAATCCTTAACCTGTGGTATTTCGTCCAATTCCAATGTCTACTTCCCATCCCCAAGCATTTTATCTTTGAAAGAATATAAACATACAGAAAGGTTGAAAGAATTGTACAGTGAATACTCACATTACCACCACCTAGATTTTATTAGTCACATTTCTGCAATATTTGCTTTATCATATATGAACCAAAGTTCAATGGTTACAATGACTGCTCTTTAACGTATTGTTTCATTGCTTTTAAAATGTTCATATGGGATAATTTATGTGTGTGGGTAATAAACTTTTTTTTTTTAAACCTCATCTGAGGACGTATTTGAGAGAGAGGGAGAAAGAGACATCGATCAGTTGCCTTCTATACTTGCCCAATCCAGGGTCTAATCCACAACCCAGGTATGTACCCTGACCAGGAATCAAACTGGCAGCCTTTTGGTACAATGCTCAACCAACTGAGCCACTCTGTTTTGATGCCAATACCAGTCACTTTTTAAGTAGTTTTTGCTTCCAGTAATATATATCCAAAGTATCCTATAAGGAAATTAGAGCAATAAAACAAGATCTAAACCTATCAGGAGAGCCACACACATTCACTTAGGTTTTTCTCTATTCTGCATGCAAATGTGCTGTAGTATTTCTGAGGGATTGTAAAGGGCTTATTGTCAAACTTAGAAGTGAAAAATGGGTAAATAACAGTGACCAGCATTTCCTTAAGAAAAAGACAAGCTGAGGTGACGATCCTACTGTGTGTCCTGTGAAGATGGGATCTTCCCTGAGGAAGTGGTCCCCGGGTGTTCCTGGCTTTGTGGACACTCGCTGCTGTGTTCCTTGCCGCCATCTTGTGTGCTCAGCTTTTGGTTGCGAACTAGATTTGTTGCCTTGTCAATTTGTTCACTCTGTAAATCCTTTTATCTTGTTATTAGGCTGCACTTTGGCGTAAATTGCAATCGATTAGGGATCGTTTCTCTGACTCAAGTTAGAAGTGAGAGTTCAGATAAGTGAGGCCGCCATTGCTGCTTTGAACACCTCAGAAGGGGAGAATGGATTTATCAGGAGTGAAAAAGAAGAGCTTGCTAGGAGTCAAAGAAAATAATAAAAAGTCCAGCACTAAATAATTCTTCTGTCAGATTTTTCTAGTGCTACTTTGGGGGTGCTTGTTGCTAGGGACTCTGAGAAAGGGGGAGATTGGAAATGTCTTACATTGTACGTGAAAGTGACCTAAGCCACAGATCATTTTTGGTCTATGATGGCCTGGGATCTGTAGCCGCATGGATCCCCTCTTTTGGGTTGTGCTGTTGTTTCTGGGTTCGATCAGAGGGGCATGCGATCTCACACTCTTCTTCATCATCCAGGGCTCCTTCTCCTACCAAACGCAAAGACCGTTCTGATGAGAAGTCCAAGGATCGCTCTAAAGATAAAGGGGCCACCAAGGAGTCAAGTGAGAAGGATCGTGGCAGGGATAAAACTCGAAAGAGGCGCAGCGCTTCCAGTGGTAGCAGCAGCACCAGGTGGGGCTCACTTCCCTCTTAAAGAGCCCAGGGAGTGCTCTGTCTTTTTTATTATTTGTGAAGAAATCACACTCTGTTAATTGGCATTCTACGTGTGGCCAACTGGTTTGGGGTTTGCTCTGGTTATGTATAGGAAGTTGGTGTCTGGTTTTCTTTCCTGGAGATGTTAAGGAATGAGATGTCTTGGGGTATATTTTTCTCTAAAGTGCTTTTTATTCGGAGTAATTGTATTGCCCTAGCCCTGAACTTTTTTCTTCCATTGAAAACCAGCCTCAGTCAGCCAATCAGTAGTTACCTTTCAAGCTGAATTGATGGCTCTGACTTGCCAGGCTCCTTCCTTACCTTTCAGTAGACAGGGCTTCTGTGTCAATAGGAAGTAGCTCATTCTTCCTTTTTTGTCACTGCACAATGTGAATGCTGTTTCCTGTTCCTACCAAGGGTTTTGGCTTGAGTGTGAGATGGTAAATGTTTCCCCGCTGGGGAACGTAGTGCCACTTGGAAAACAGAGCAGCTATTTACTCTTGGGAGCATGGTGCAAGCTTGCTTGTGCTGTAAAGAAACATTGCTCCCACCTGTTGTCTGTAACACCCGCCGCCTCCATCTCACTCAGGTCTCGGTCCAGCTCTACCTCCAGCTCTGGCTCCAGTACTAGCACTGGCTCAAGCAGCGGCTCTAGCTCTTCATCAGCATCAAGCCGCTCAGGAAGTTCCAGCACATCCCGAAGCTCCAGTTCCAGCAGCTCCTCCGGCTCTCCGAGTCCTTCTCGGCGCAGACATGACAACAGGCGGCGTTCCCGCTCCAAGTAAGCTCCCCTCCAACACCATTTCTCACCAAACTTGTGAATTATCTGTAAACATAAGTTTACAAAGGGGGATTATAACGTTACTGTAATTATTCTAAAAGTAGACCCAAAAGGAGTCTTTCTGTCCTAGTAGTATTTCTAAGACAGGGATAACATGTATGAACTAGTAGGAAAGGCTTCCTTATTTAAAAACTCACACGAGCAGTTAACATCCCAACAAAAAAACTTTGACAGCAGAAATTGATTGTTTTGGTATTTTGTTTTTTCAATCAGATCCAAACCACCCAAAAGAGATGAAAAGGAAAGGAAAAGGCGGAGCCCTTCCCCTAAACCCACCAAAGTCCACATCGGTAGGCTCACCAGGAATGTGACCAAGGTGAGGAATCCCAAATGCAGTGGATCAGGGATGGTAACCTTTTGGAGGACTTGTGTGATGGGTGGTACATGATTCAAGTAGTGCACTGATTAATTCATTTTAATGGAGTAAGTGTGTGTGTGTGACTAAATTTACCACCAATGCCAACAATGTGGTGAATTCTCCTGTGTGTTTGTGTGTGTGTTGCTTGTTTTTATTAATGATTTCAGAGAGGAAGGGAGGGAGAGAGAGATGGACACATCAGTAATGAAAGAGAATCACTGATCTGCTGCCTCTTGCATGCCTCACACTGGGGATCGAGCCCGCTACCCGGGCATGTGCCCTAACCAAAAATTGAACCATGACCTCCTGGTTCATAGGTCGACGCTCAACCACTGAGCCACCGAGGCCGGGCAGTTGTCTTTGACTCTGACACAAGTGGCTGGTGCGTAAGCATTAGTGACACTCCTTTCCCTTTAGGATCACATCATGGAGATATTCTCCACCTATGGGAAAATTAAAATGATTGACATGCCTGTAGAGAGGATGCACCCCCATCTATCTAAAGGCTATGCATACGTGGAGTTTGAGAATCCAGATGAAGCTGAGAAGGCGCTGAAGCACATGGATGGAGGTGGGTGTGGGTGGCCCTACCAGCACTCCTGGACTCCCTTCTCTGTCTCCTATCCAAGACGGGCTACCCACCACATATAGGGACCTTTAGAACCACTTTCCAACCTGGCTACACATCAAAATCTCTCTGGAGCTCTTTCAGGATTTTAAATCCTATTCAGTGGGTGTGTTTTTACCAAAAAACATGTATATGGAACATTATTGAAAAAAATTAGCAGACATGAATATATTAGCATTTTAAGAATTTTTCAATCTGTTAAAAAGCTTAAGATTGAATGGTGTGGGTTTTGTGGGGTATTTTTTACAAAGAGTATATTATGGATATAATGGAGCCATTTGACTTTTGTATGAGAACATTTCCTTTAATCCTCTCAGTCATTTTTCTATTTTGCTAACATTTCAGCATTTTTAGGATTTTTTAAATTACCTGAATTCACAAATTTAACCCATTTTCCAAAAGCTTGTATCTTAGCTATTTCTGATGACATTTGCAGCCATTTGGTATTGAGCAGAAGGGTTTTAACGGTTAAACATTTGTGAATAGTTTCAGATAGCCAGTTTTCATTTTGTCTTTAGGAATGTGTAATTTGTCTCTGCCCCAGCTCACTGACTGTTTCAATTTATTTAAATCCCTTTGAACTGTGTTAGGGAGTAGTTTAGTTCAGAATAAACTACAGTCCATCACTTTGCATGCATCAGCTTTTGGCTTTGTGAGTCACACCTTTGTATTAGAGACTGTCAGTCATGTTTGATGGCTTGTGCACTTGCTAAAAATTCAGGAGACTGGACACATCCAAGGTGTACCTGATTTATAAACATTCCACATTTTCTTTTAAGATTCTGGTGGACTTTTGTGTTTCCATATTGTGCTATGCACCATCGAATGGAACAAGTCTACATTGTCTTCAGAAGGAAAATCTTGAAAAGGCTTGGCTTTTATTGGCAGCTGGCCAAAAGGTGTATTTGTCTCTGTTGTCTTATAATCGGTGCCATGAATTTCATAACGGGCTGGCTTTGGTAGTGCCAGGGCCAGCTTAGGCTGCAAATACTTAATCCTTTTGAGTCTTTTCTGAACACAGTTCCTCGTGCCTCAGTTATCCCCTCCATGCCTTTGACATTTCCTTAAAGGTTGGAGCTGAGAAGATCAAAGAGCCCTCTACCCTGTGGGGACACACAGGGGCTGTGCTTGGTTCCCTACGCAGTTCCTAGACTGAGGTCGCAGTGTATGCTTCCCTGGGTTCCTGGGCCTGCGGCTCGGTGTCCTTTGGTCTTTCACTGAATCTCTGCAGGCGCCTCTGGCCTCCTTCCTATGCTGCCTCCCTGTGAGCACTTCCAAACTCTGAGGGCAGACTCGGCATCTCCTGAACCTCCTTTCATTTTGCCCCCTCACCCCTGGGGTTTTCTTCCTCCTGAGCCCTACTTCCCAGGTGATCATAATTCATCCAAAACCTGGTGCTGATCATCTGTCTCAGTTCTTGTGAAACCCCCTTGTGAGTCTCCCTTCTCCGGCCTGTCCCCTTCCCGTTGTTCTTGAGAAGGAAGCTCAAGTGTTAATCCCATGGTCCGGCTCAGGGCCGGCACACTCTTCCCCTCAGTTTTGCAGATTCCAGCATGTTCTTTAGGTGTTGTCCCTGGGAGGCCATCCCAGTGCATCAAGATTGAGTCCCCAGTAATGTTCTATGCCCACTTACAGTTTTCTAAATGAAACCTTCAATCATAGTAATTATGTGGTTATTTCTGTGAGGAGCTGAGTTTGTCCTTATTCCCTTGCTTTCCATGGTATGCCTACATCTGATGTGGAGCCTGGCCTAGATTAGGGGCATGTTAGATATTATGTGACTTGATCCTTTTTTCAACAGGACAAATTGATGGCCAGGAAATCACAGCCACTGCTGTGCTGGCCCCCTGGCCTAGGCCACCCCCCAGGCGATTCAGCCCTCCCAGGAGAATGCTACCACCACCTCCCATGTGGCGTCGGTCACCCCCACGAATGAGGAGAAGGTGAGTCAGTTTGGGGTTTCACAGGAGACGGGGGCCAGTCTGGGTTGGTTTTATTTATACCACAATGTGACAGTAATGACTTTGGGATTTTATTCAGCCCCACACGTACTCATGCACGAGTGCACACACACCATGATGCACCTTCAAAGCTCATGTTCATTACAGCAGGAGAAAGGGAGAGAGACTACCAGAAGGTGTGGCCCTTGCAGGTTGCACCAAAACTCCAGAGCATCTTTCCTTCGCAAGCTATCCTGACTCGGGGTATTGAACCAGGAAACTACAGAATTGTTCCGAAAAGCCAGCGTTGCCCCTGCAGTCCGGGGTATTGAAACAGGAAACTACAGAATTGTTCCGAAAAGCCAGCGCTGCCCCTGCAGTCCAAGATGCAGAGCTGCTTCCATGGCGTGTGCTTCAGTGTCTGATGTTTTTCCTCTTCCCACAGGTCACGCTCCCCACGGCGCAGGTCCCCCGTCCGTCGGCGATCCCGCTCCCCCGGCCGCCGCCGCCACAGGAGCCGCTCCAGCTCCAATTCCTCCCGATAAGCAAGCCACCGAAACTCTGCCCCGAAACGTATATCCCATCCAACTCAGTTCTGTCACTTTTCTAGCTGAAGGACAGTCAGTAGGAAACGAATCCTCACTCAGGATGGCGTGTGCTTCAGTGTCTGATGTTTTTCCTCTTCCCACAGGTCACGCTCCCCACGGCGCAGGTCCCCCGTCCGTCGGCGATCCCGCTCCCCCGGCCGCCGCCGCCACAGGAGCCGCTCCAGCTCCAATTCCTCCCGATAAGCAAGCCACCGAAACTCTGCCCCGAAACGTATATCCCATCCAACTCAGTTCTGTCACTTTTCTAGCTGAAGGACAGTCAGTAGGAAACGAATCCTCACTCAGGGGCAGGCTTCCAAAGGAGCATCGAGACGTTTCCTCTGAAGGCCAAGTTTGGCTGCAGAAGTGTTGATTTGGGGTTGTGCCTATGAAGATGCTCTCCAGTTCCATAGCTAGAAAGTTCCCGCGTTTCCAGTCTCTGAGAGTCAGTAGCAGAGCCAACAGGAACAGAGCAGGGTTCCAGGTGTCAGTGCTGCCCCAGCCGGGGAGCACATTTCCATTCCATAGGTGACCTAGGGCCCATCTCGTAGCCTGAGGATTCTTCAGGAAAGGGCATGCTTTTGTGCAGCTGCTGTTCCTATTAACCTGGCCGTGCTCCCCTGCTTGAGTTCTTCTGACTCTAGAGAAACATCCCATGTTAGTTGCTGTAAATGGTTCTGTTTTCACATGTACTCGTGTACATACATCCATGTGGCACATCTCCTTTTTCTCTGAAATTGGTGAGCAAATTGAGAGCTCTGCAAGGTCATCACAGACCTTCCCCGTCTCCGTGGTGGTCTTTGGGGTTACCTTGGCAACGTGTACATTGCTTTTTCGGCTATTATTGTACAGTCAGTACTATGAATTTTCTGTTTTGAAATTTTTTTGTAACTTTGTAGCATTTTAGATAATGTGTTTATACTTTGTTGTGTAGAGTAAAAGAATTGTGTTGAATAAATCTAGGATTAGAATGCAGATTGAGTGTTGAGTTCACTGCTTTCTTCCTGTCTCTTGGCCCCAAAGATAGCTATGATTGTGAGGGACCTGTGGCTGCCTAAAATCTTAATTGGTTTCGTTTTCAAAGCCGCACCTCTAAAATCAAAAAAGCCCTGGTCAGTTGGGTTGCTCCTGCACATAAACATATATGAGGAAGATGTTTTATCAACTTTATATCCCCAGGAACTTCTAGTTCTGCCTGACTGGAAACGGATCTCATTTGCTGCTGCTATATTTGATACTACAAAAAAAAATATTTTTCCTCATAAGTTGGTTCGTTCCAAGAGGAAGACTTTGAAACACTTAAGGTGTTAAAGAGCAAAAGTTTGAATTATCGATGGTGGAAAAAAAAAAAGTTTGAATTATCCGACATTGCACTTGACCCTTGTTGTGCCCAGTGCAAACCGAATGGTCAGAACAAGACCATGTCCTGCCAGGCGGTACAAAGGCTTGCTCCCCATGCCTCTCAGGTCATCTTTATTTGTTTACTAGAGGCCCGGT